GCATTAGGCGCCTTTTGTAGGACTGGTGGCAGTGACTGCAGCCATTACAGCCAGCCATACAGACAGAAATGGATACGATTCGTTCTGACCACGAGTTGTAATGTTATCTAATATAAAGCCACCTTGTGAAACGTTTATTTCGTGTCCGTAGATCCAGTGAGCAGCTCGAAAAAGAAGCAAAATCAAAATGGCGTCAGGGATCCGAGCCTTTAACCTAACACGCATGGTGCAATGCACGGATCCACCGCACCAGCACACCCTTGTAAGCATTGGTTTTCACTCCTTCGTGGAAGAATTTCTTCAGGGAAATCTTCAACTATGAAGCCATTATGTCGGCGTACAAGTCATTGCAAATGTTTGAAATTGCTCTAACCTCGCAAAGGACGGCTCTTATAACCACTGAATTCGTCCGCGAGTAACGAACGGACTCGCCGGCATGAGTTGGTGTGTTCAAGTGCAGTCTCGCGATCGTAAACAAAAAATTCCGTAAACATGACTCCCCCGGGTCACCTTCTAGAGTAGAAGTACCAGAACTCAGACAGACTTTGTTCTTGTCAGGCATCGAGACTAAGGGCTTGTTATAGCCAAACGTACGAGATAGTGGCCGCGTAACATCGCTCACTAATCTGTACGCTTAATATCGCACCACCCGGGTCGAAAGAGCGAGCTGGTTTCGAGGCAAAAGTGGTGGCATTCGAAGGAAAGGACGAGTGGTGATCTCTCGTTTTCGTCACCCAACGTCACAACTGTCGAAGAAACATGGAAAAATGCTGCAGCAGGTAGCTCACGTCACTCGCTTTGAACCAGGCGCAACGAAACATGGAAGAAGTAGAACTGAGAAGCAGTCATGGTCGTGGACAGACGTTAGACTAAGATTCGCGATAAGATCATTGGTTCCCTTGAGAAAAGTAAAGTGGCAACTGACGAAAGTACCAGGAAGCCAAGAGTACAGCAGAGAAGTCAAAGGCTTCTGCAAAAGCAGCTTTCTTTCAAGACATCGGCGAGAGAGTAGAGGCGCGCGATGGCGAACTCACATTTGTAGTTACCGAGGCTCGTCCACCGCCAGATCGAGGATGTGGAGAAGACGGTCATCACCGACGAGAAGGGCCATCTTCCGTTGGACTGAAAAAAGGTGCCGAGGCGATAGCGCATCACTTCGAGAAAATCCCTACGGTAGAATGATAGAATATACACCCGGCCATATCTCGCGCTCACCTATACAAGGTTCCGTTCAGAGGATAACCATAGCGGAAACAGGAGCGGCTTTCAAGATGATAAAGCCAGCTAAGGTCGCAAGCCCTGACGACGTGCCGACATATGGAAGTCGCAAAACTGGTTTGCGGATTGGTTAACGAGGTTCTTGAAAGTTGCAGAGAAGATATCCGAAGGGTTGCGAGAAAGCATCGCGGTCTTGATGTGGAAGAAGAAGGGAACTCTACAGCCTGCTCAAATTATCGTCCTCGCGTGCTCTCGCACAGTCTTGAGTTGGAGAAGGCAGTCGATAATGTTTCGCATGAAGTTATATGGTACGCCTTACGACAGCACGGCGTTCTCAAAGAACTGATTAGATGGAAGCGCATCTAGCATTTCAGCCCAATGAGTCGCGTGCGAACATCAGCAGGCATTTTGACTCTGCTCTTCTTCCGCTCCCCTTCGCTGTTCTCATGGATGCGATTTCACGGGACGTCCAGTAACCGGCTCCCTGGACGCTTTTGTGCGCTAACGATGTGATTTTCTCCTGCGAAGATAAGAATGACCTTGAGCAAGACGTGCAAACCTGGTCTGAGCGTTTGACAAACTTATTCAACTCCAAAAAACCGAGTGCTTGACGACCGATCAGAGCGACACGGCTCCTTTGAAGTTGGCGGAAATGAGCTAACGCGTGCAACTGCTTCCAAGTATCTCGGATAAACAGTGGCGTCTGTGGCATTTTGGAGGCGAGGCGCGAGAGTGCGGCCTAGTCTAACAAAGGAGGTCTTTCAGGTCATGGCGCGCTCTTGAGAAATGGTTTGTTGCATCTTGTAGGGGTCCATATAAGGTACCCTATAAGATGCAGCAAACCATTTCTCAAAAGGACACGAAAATGGGTTCCATTTTTGCTATGCGTTTCTGGGAAGGTCAAAAAAATGGGTGAAAAGTTTGCTGGGGAAAAGCGATTGTGAACCATTTTTCTAGCATTCTTTTCTAATATTTCTAATGCAACATTATAGTATGCACAGCAAATGAGACATTCGTCGACACTGCATCGAAAACAATACCAGTCAAAGTGAAAAAAATACTTTATTTGGCACACAGTAAGGTAGCATTGTAGTTTCTCAAGTGGTTCTCGTAGCATCCCAACCCGCAGTTAGGAGTGGGGTGTTCAGAGCCATGTTGGCGCCAAATGACCTAGGCACCAATTATAAAGGTCAGAACCGTGATCAGGGCCGTTAATAACCATACAGACTTTCAGCGGAAATTTCCTCCTTGAGCTGAGCGCTTAACAGCGCCTACGTGCGGGTTGACAACTATTCAGTGCGAGAATGCTCTTGCAGCAAATCGGCGTTAGGCTGCGCCGTCAAAAATGAGTGTCATACTCGTGAATAGGGAGGGCATCCATTCATTCCCGTAGCACAACTTTCAGCAAGAGTTTCCTCAGTAATTTTTCGAGGGCGCAGTAGTTAAATAGGGTCGACTCGTGAAGAGTGTACAGAATGAGCTCTTAAATGGCATATATCCATGTTATGTACATCACCACGCACGCAGGAACACAAGGAGACAGAAACCCATAAACCGAGAAACGCATAAAGTATCCGAAAAATGCAAAAAGCTCGTCGCCAAGAGGACTCGATCTCCAAACTTTCTTCGTAAGACCCGACCGCACTATCCACTCAGCCATCCGCCGACCACGGAACATTGGGTGCGGGAGTCGTTGAAGTAACTTCGGTGCTTCTTTTCTCCATGCACTTTCTTTTTGACTTTATTTTGCTCTCTTTTCGATATATGGTGAAGGAACACCGCATAAACTATGGACTCTCAAAGTTACAGTTACAACAGAGTCCAATTAGACGGTTAAAATCGCACTCTCTTGTCAAATGGTTTCACATAGTTTTTGACCTCGCCAGAAACGCATAGCAAAGAAGAAACCCATTTTTTCAATCCTTGTATGGACTTCTACAACAAGCAACAAACCCTTTTCAAAAAGCGCCACGACCTGAAAGACCTCCCTTGTAAGTGGCGCTCTATAACGGGCGTTCTTTCTACTGTTAAAGGCAATTCCCGCGACCAGAGTTTATAGGTAATACAGTCCAAAAATAGAATTACCGTGTGTTTGTTGACTCATTGAAGAAGAAGGAACCACGGAAAAGCGCCCGCAATAAGATCCCTCTTTATTCAATTGATCATGATGTTGGTGATTGTATTTGAATAATTTTTACGTTATGGTTGTTTTACCTACTTGGATGTTCGAAACTTGTTTTTATTTATTTTACATGTTGCTATACATGTCCAATAAATAAATGAATAAATGATCACCGGACGAGCCCAAGGTGGTCAAGATCAATTGTGGATTGCAAAAGGCGGCGATACACTGATAAGAGACGAGAGAGGCCAGAAAATGATGGGCGAGAGAACGCAATGGCAATGTCACAACGACACGGTCATCGGAGGCCAATAGGGCCTATCGGGCGCCAATGGGCCTAAAACATGAGCGTCGTGCGTTCTGCTTGCTGTTTTTCAACTTTTGAAAGCAGCATATCCTCTACTGTTGCCTGCTTGACCATCATACACGTATATGAGGTCGTAGCCTAGTTTATCGCGGAACGTGCCTTTAGGCCAAAAACCGTTAATGTCTCCATCCCACCGTTATCTCCTTTTATCTGCTTTTTTATTAGTTCCTCGCCTACTAATAAAGTTCTTACTTTATTACATCATATCTGAATGGCCCACAGCTGCTGCGGTCCGTGCTACTGGTTGGCTGGTTGGCCAAGGGAATACTCAGTCAGAACGTGACGTTCATTATTTACACGTCATTGAAACCTTTATATGTTAACCTTTATGGCGATAATGTGTTGATGATGGTAACAAAAAAGGTTGTGATTCACAACGCTGGGGCGGGGCGATAATGAGCGGTAGCTCAGAATAAATAGCTATTAACAACATCATCAATCAAAAACCAAAGTACATGACAAAGAATCCATAATGATGAGAGATGAAAAATCGTCAAATGGTAGGTCAGAGCAAATATCGATAGCGGATGATACAACAACTCATAGACTACAGTGGCATTTTTTACAAAGACCTTTATCACTATATATCTTAGCCACATGGACTGGATCCATCCTTGTTCGACTGCGGAATTGAGCCGCCTGGTGTCCCGTAACGAAGCAAACTTCACGGTATTTGCTTGGCGGGACTAGCGGGCAGCCGGTGGGCAACTGGTCCATCTTTTTTGCTTGTTACTGTCGAACTCCCTCAGCCGTGCTTCGACGGCCGCAGTACTGAGGTCGTTTATCTTCAGCCGATCCTCCATGCGATCTTGCTTCGTCGCTAATTCCGTCCATAATGGAGTAGAATACATCTCGTATATCCTCATTAGAGACCACGCCCATTTCGTTATGTGAAACGAGTAACGGACGCAGCGTCATTTTGGGAGGGTACATGACAGATTTCGCAGACTTCACGGGTGGTTCAGAGGCAGCATTAGTGTCAGTCGGATCCGCTGACTTCTTGAGACGCTGCTTGTTGGATAAACGCCTCTGGACGGAGGAGTCGTGAAGAATGGCCATAGTGGCCTCAGCACCAGTAATATCCAGGTCTAGTAGATCTTCCAGAGGATCCTCAGTATGGTGATGGGTTGATGAGTCGCAGGACATGATGATAGATGCTCTAACGGATTGAAACTCCTTTTTATATGCAGTCCCTGGTGGCCCAGGTCGTCATTGACAGCATAGTTCGCCGATATGAAGGTGTTAATTGATGTTGACGCACACGAGGTAGATAAGATATGGGTATGTACATGACTAGACATCAGCCTTTCGCATCCTCATTTTTAGCAAGCGATTCGTAGTAGTATTGGAACTGGTAGCACTGTTGACTATGAGGATAGCTACTGCTATGCATGTAATCACGAAGGTCTTCCAGTGTTGGAAGGCAACGTCCAGCAGATGTCCAAGATCAGGGTAATTGAACATGTTGACGTAGTTGGCGTGTTCAATCATGTGTTGTTGGAAAGGTGTTCTACAGTGGGTGTGAAACGCTAGGATGCCGGATATGGTGATGTTGTGCATCTTCTGACCACACTTTACCAGACACCTATCCTTGTAGTTTGGTGCTGCTGCGTGTATGGCGACTTTTGTTTGGGCGGTGGATGGACCACATGCAGCGGCGAATATTTTTTGTTGGTATTCTATCTCGACCATGCTTGGGCGACTGGAATGGCATGAGAAAGTAACCTCAGCTCCTCGTAGACAATTGTAGCAGCCTTGTAACGGTGATGATGTTATGTCACAGGCCTCACTGTCAATTATAGAATCTGCGTGATAAAGTGCTGAGGTGCTTATCGTGAAATCGATGACGGCACTATGTACGGCTCCGAAAACGAGTCCAAGATCATCTCGAAGATGCAGTACTGAGGACGATAGTGGGAGCCGGCTGTCTATGGAAGCCATCTTGGTGATGACGTCAAGACTTCTGCAGTCGCATTTCGCTTCCGTCTCCGATGGTGAGCAAGAGCATCGGTCTTCCACGTGGCATTCCGTGATATTGGGGAGAGTTCTCATCGTTGGACACCGTAAAGCATATCTTTCTCGATAAGAGCGACATTGACCATCCCTATGAACAACGTGTCCAAAAAAGGTATTGCTGGTGCGGTTACGAATTCCAGCGTCACATTGGCATTCTGCATTACATGCGTTGTCTGTGTGTTGATCCTGAACGTGTCGGAGCCCTGCGTTCCTTGAGCTCCAGTATAGGTGAACGTCATCAAAGCCGATTCTTGCCATGTGGGGCAGTGGAATACTTGGTAAATCTTGTTATTCCTCGGCTTCGCGTAAGTGCGAGAAAATAAGCATCCTGGAGTTGGAAGAAGGCAGCCGCATCCGAGCCCTCCACAAGATGTCGTGCATCGCGTAATTCCAGGAAAATCATACTTGTTTCGCAGTTCCGGGACCTCCGATCTACTGCTGATGTGTGAGCAGGTTTGTGATGTGCCAGCTAGATGGCATCGCTTCACGAACTCGGTGATTATGTCGACGTCTCTTGTGTAGAAAAGCACAACTGGATTGCACGTCAAGAAAACATGTTGTAGGCGTACTTCCATGCTCCCAACTGTGAAGTTCCTGTTTCTAAGGCGGAAGCAGGCTTGAGGTCCATTTTCGCTCAGCGTTATGACACTTTCTTGTGTTTCTCGGCAGTCTGTTTTGTTGAGTGAACAAGAGCAAACCGTGTTGTTTGCGTTGTGTGCGTATGTGTGTACTGGCATGCTTCTCCGGTAGAGGTGAGATGCGCAACCATGACGGTAAATACGATCATTTTCGAGCTTGCCGGCAACACTGATAGGCTGGTCATTGATGAGTCCTCCTTCGTCCTGGGTGACGGTGTGTTGATCTTGAATTTGTGTCGCTATGGGAGAGACGACGAGCACTAGAAACAATGCTAACATCCCTGTAACCACTCCAGGAGCACAGTGAGGATTTCCGATAAGCTCTGCGCACATGACGCCGCTGATTATTTGGCAGATATCTCCTGGGGCAGATTATCGTTTCCGTGTATTGCTTGGAAGCAACAATGTGCGCCATTGTATGGTGTGTTGGCTGACAATGTGCTTGAATGGTAAGGCAATTTCGGTTATATTAGCTCCTGCTGAAACTGTGGTACATTCTTTGTAATTAACGCAGAACTCCGCTTCGGTAAAGTGAGTTGTATTAATTGCCGCTCCTTTGCTCGAGCAAGATATGGCAGCAGCAGACGCTGAGTTGAATAGTGTGAATACACACATAGCTACCATGAAGATCGTGGATGAGCTGGAGAGGGTGAGGCTCTTGGTTCCAGCTCTGGTTCCATTAGGACACGTGGGTTTTCGCCACTCTCGGCGGCTGATGTCGAACGGCCACGCTGGGATCCTCAGATGAACTGGTGGATGTCTTTCTTCTGTGAATAGGTTTTCCTATAACTGATGGAGCTAGGTCGCCGTCAGTTCCCGAAGAGTGGATGGAGAAACGTATTTCTAGCGGGATGAGACGATTGAGTGGTCGTTGTACAACTCTTCCTGTTGAAGTGAAGCATAGTGCTTCGAATAGGAATTTTTCCTGGTCGCTCAGGTCGCTGTCGTTATGGATGAGCGATTCAAAAACAAACCAGAATGTGCTGAACTCTCTGAAATTTCCTGAGAAGGTAGGAACCTCCAGTAGTGGGCGTCTGACTCTGATGTTGCGATCTTGTGGAGTTATGGCGCCAATTAACATTTCCTGACAGTTGCTGCCACCACTGCTGAGAGACTGGCTGTTAATGGCTCGAGGCGTGGACAGCAGAGCAGTTTGTTGTAGTAATTCCTCTTTCCTGGCGTCGATTCTGGTTAGCCATTGTATAACGGAAATCTCTAGGCTGTTGGAATCAGCTTCCAGGTGCCTATTCAGGTCAAGTAATAAGCTTTTCTCGATCCTTGTGCTCTGTCTGTGCATTGACCGTTTCGATGGCTTCTCTAACGTAGGAGTTGTGGAACTGCTTTGCTGCGTTGTTGGTTCTGGGAGGCAGTTCAGTTGCGTTGTTTTCTCTCCAATTTATGCCTTGCATTCTTCCATTTGTGAAGGGAATGCGAAGGCCTGATCGAGCTTGCTGACTTCCGGCTCATGAGATTCGAGCAGAGCGCAAGCATTTGTGATCTTTGTCTTGAACACTTGAATTTCGGCCATTTTCGTAGGTTTTGGCAATCATTCAGTGTCAATTTGAATGTGTTTTTTTCGCAATTCAAAGCGTTACAACAGCTTTTCAAGTTTTGGTTGATTCCGCGGTAGAAGTGCTCCTGCCACGTGGGTCTTTCTTCAATCGGTCTTATGTTCCTCGTCTAAGGAATCGCGCAAGACTTGATTTTTCACCTTCCGGTTCCTCAGTCGAGGCTGTCAGAGAAGGTTCTTCTTTCTTTCTTTGGAGAGAACACGGTTTCCTTGTGGTTTCTCTTGAGAGAACTCCAGTGAAGGATTTGTTCTGCTCTCCGGACTCTAATGAAGAAGTCACTGAGAAAGAGTAGATTCGTTCTTCAGGTTCCTCCGAAGAAGACTCGCAATGAAGAACTTTGCTGTTGATGTAGGCTTCCTTCGGGTTTCTCCGAAGAGAACGCGCCAAAAAGGAGTAAGGCCTTTGTTCTTTGGGTTCCTGCGTAGAAGACTCACGACAAAGAACTGTGGTCGGAAACGTTTACGTCCTTCGGGTTTCTCCGAAGAGAACTCGCCAAGAAGGAGTAAAGTTTGCTCTTTGGGTTCCTCCGGAGAGGACTCGCGACAAAGAAGTGTAGAAGGTAGGTAGTTTACGTCCTTCGGGTTTCTCCGGAGAGAATTCGCCAAGAAGGAGTAAGGTGGGCTGACTTTTCTGGTCCCTACTTAGAGGACTCGCGAAGAAAAGCAGGGATTGTAGAGTTATTCCAACGGCCGATGCACCAATTTGGCTGGTTGGCCAAGGGAATACTCAGTCAGAACGTGACATTCATTATTTACACGTCTGACAAACAGAATCGAATAATAAAGATCTCAACGAGCTTATATACAGCGAGTTTAGGCGGTGCTAAGATAAAGTGTCGGCAGGCGGCACTGAACAAAGAGGATGAAAAGGGCGCACCGCGCTCAAGGGCTTATCAGAGGTACCTACACGATTAATCACTCAAGATACCGCGAGGTCACGCCTGCGGTATCATCTCAAGAGTACTTATCTATAAGCATGCTTAAGCTAATATGAATTGGACAACAATGTTATCAATCATTTTCGAATGTTAGACTCTATTCACTTTTCGTTAAAACCTTTATATGTTAGTAATGGTAACAAGAAAGGTTGTGATTCACAACAGGTTTCATGGCCCTCCTTCCTGGTGCCCTTTAATCAGGTCGTGTGAGTCGCTAGTCGTTCACCGATATTATTCTCCTCGCATCCTATATTTCATATCCATATTGGAGCCAAAGTTAACCGCACCATGCTATGCCTCAACTGAGAAGCGATCACGCAGTTGCAACGAATGCGTATAACCTGTGCGAAGCTTCGCACAGTGGGCACGGCATGAGCCAAAAGTTAGCAGTTCCGAAATAATTCTTAATTTTGTTCCAGAGCAAGGCGAAGACGCTTGGAATGGACGGTCCTTCCGGTGTCACTCGAAAAATTCGTATTTTGGCGAAACAGGGAAAAAGTGTGATAAGGCTAGCAGAGGGTTGACAGACCAAATTGAGAGAACTTCCCAATAAGGGTGCTGCGTACTTGAGGCTGGTGGTGCTAGCACGATATTCAATAAATTGACGCCTGAGGTAGCTCAGAGATCGCAAAAAAAAACAATTGCAAAAGAAGGAACTGTTGAGGGTCGAGGATGTCCGTTGTGTGCTGAAACCCGCTCGAAGTGGACGGAGCGTTCCTCATACATGGGGCACTCACTCAGAAATCTGCAAAACAGTATCGCAGCCTTCCAGGCACCGGAAAAAGTGGGTTGAGGTAGGCAAAAGGTTAGTTGCTGAGAATGTTGGGCACACTTTGAGAGCGGAGAACGCACCAATGTGGGAGGAGCCACACGAAAAAAATTGCTAAATGGTTTCAGAGCACTTCAGGCAGCGGAAAAAAAGTGGGAGGTGGGCAAGATTTCAACTCTCGAGAAGAAGGAGACATTCGCGGTATGGGTGGGGCCTGCGCCCAGTGGGCGGAGTCGAACGAAAAAAAAACCGCGAACAGCTTTACACACAGTCCACCGTGAAAAATGTGGGCTGAGATTGACAGATCAGCGGTAGCGTGGGTAAAGTAGGTGCCAAGGTAGGCAGAGCCGAACGGAGAAGCTGCATAACCTTCTCAGAGCATTCCGAATGCTAAAAAAAGAAAGAGGAGGTCAGCAGGAGGTCGCCAGTTAAGTGTGAATCGCATACGTTGTGGTAGGGGCCTATCTTTCCTTTCCATGGTGGGTAGGGGAATGGAGAGGTACACCCGGGCGGAGCGGGCATAGTGGTGGGTGGGACAAAAGTCCAAAATTCGCGATCAGTTCCAGAGCACCTCAGAGATCGTGAAAAGAGAAGAAAGAGTGCAGGCAATTGGCTAAAGGAATGAGATGGACGCCCATTGCCTTTGATCGGGTGGCGGCAGAAGTTAACCATTTGAGAAACTGTTGCAGAGTATCACGGGCACCGAGAAAAAGTGGATTTAGTCATCAAGGGTCAGTGGATGTATTCGCAACAGTTTCAAAAGGGTGACTGTACTTGAGATGGGCGATGCTTGCTACAGATCTTCGCACCTTGGTCTTAGAGAGCCCGGGAGTCGGAAAAAAATCGCCTGAGACGAGGAACATCTGGCGAGTCTCTGATGCTCTGGGGCCCGCCCAAAGTGGACGGAGTGCAACATTGAGCACAAGTCACCTGCTTGCTGCATGTTGCTGCTTTTTTTTACTGAATTTCAGTGCGTAGGCAATCACACTCTCACGCACCGTGTCACAGATAAACTTCTGGCACTGTTGAACTATTCCTACCCCAAAAATTCAATTTTTTTTCGTTGAAACGTTGCCTATAGATGTAGTTCGATGCGCTGATCACGAATATCACATCCGTTTCGAGCGCTGGCGTCATTTGGTGCCATTATGCGCCAATTTGGCGCCCACCACTTTTTTCACCAAAGTTGATGAAAACCTGCATATGGGGGTTGCTCGACATCCTGATCACGAATATTACACTGGTTTCAAGCGCTGGCGCCAGGCGCCATTATGCGCCAATATGCCGCCAAGTTGGCGCGTAATGGCGCCAAGTGGCGCCAATGCCAAAAAATGAATGTCGGATTCGTAAACAGGACCTCAGGTAACCCCCATATGCAAGTTTTCATCAACTTTGGTGAAAAAAGTGGTGGGCGCCAAATTGGCGCATAATGGCGCCAAAGACGCCAGCGCTCGGAACGGATGCGATATTCGTGATCAGCGCATCGAACTACATCTACAGGCAACGTTTCAACGGAAAAAGTTTTTGAATTTCTGGGGTAGGAATACTTCAACAGTGCCAAATTTCTTACTGATCGGCTCGCCAACTGACCGCTTCGCTTTGCCGCGCGTGCCTTCTTTCGTATGTTCGAATGCTCCGAATGCTCAACTAGTATCCAGCTTTCTTCCCCATATATGCATTGGTCAACGCTCCACCATTCCGTTGGCAGTAATAGTGTTGTAATGAGCAGGTTGATTTCCATGCAAGCAGGTGAAGAAAAGCTTTGTATTATTTGACTATTGAAGCAGGAGAAGGAATGTAGTGAGCCAACTGGTCCTTTAATAGCGCTAGGCCCCGTTTTATTGTGGGGAGACAACCGTCGTTGGCTTAGGCCAGTCGCATCTGCTCGACTTCGCCATATGATATCAGATGAGGAACCGATTAGAAGAAAAACCTCGGTGCTTACAGCTAGTGTCTCCCGCTGTGATCCGCAGACTTCCGGAACTCCTCGAGAGGCTCAAGGCTCGAAATTATGTACCTGAGCAGGTTGAAGACAATATTGCAGGTCTTTCAACCATAAGCGCGACTAATGATGAATGGCTTCTGGATTCTAGGGCTAGGGGCTCGCTTTTTTAGAGAATCATCTCAGAGATCCTCGACTTTTCATCTACTTCCATTGCTCACATCCGTCACTTCTGTAGTGGAAACGCGCTGGTTTCCCCAAGGCGAGAGAGGTGCTCTAATAGTAAGGGTAGGCAGTATGCATATACCTAGTGGTTTCCATCTAGTTTACCACTTTGCCTGGAGTGAACTTTGACTTTGCGTGCCACGAGCAAGTTATTCAATGTTTTGCCCCTTTTGCGCAACAGCTGCGTGCAAAGCAAAGGTGGTGTGTCGTCGTGTGAACGTTTGCAAAATAAGGATACTTGAAAAAGTGATTCGAAATGTGCACATGTCCGGAAATGTAGACGAACTCAAAACAATTGTGTGGAGCACTCACGCAACCAATCACCACCAGCAGCATGATCAAGGATGATTTAAGGTACACACCACCGAGAATAACGATGAGTAGCACAACCTACAAAAAGTATGAATAAGAATTATTACCGGATAGAATTTATTTAGAGAAAATTATTAGGTTGACTGAGCGTACCGAAAAAGCAATACTGTAGACCCATTTATCTTCAGTTCTTATTACGACGTAGACAGAGCAAGCGGTCGTAATTAAGGCCGTAGCAATAACAACCATCTGAAAATGCTTGGAGACATCAATCTATTAAACGTCTTCCTCTCCTAGTGGATATGTCTTTCAGTGAATTCGGTATGACTGCCACGTGAAGGATCGCGTAATGTGAATGCACGGTAAGTATGTGTATGTGTGCATGGTGTGCATATGTGTGTGCATGGTGTGTATGTGTGTATGTGTGCATATGTGTCCATGTGTATATGTGCGTATGTTCTGTCTGTATTTTGTGTGTGCGTGGTGTGTGTTGCTTGTATGTGTGAATGTATTGGTGTGTGCATGTTGTATGAGTGTATGT